GATTGTATCAGTTGAGACATCCGTGAGTTCAATGGTACCCGGCGGTACAGGAACTGTCAAAAAAAAAAAAAAAACATTGGTCAGTTGATGATAACAAGCTGAAATAATTACTTGACAGTACAATTATTTGACAATACTGTTTAAATGATTTGTAGTTGTATATTCTATGGAGAATACAGTACAACACCGGTGGATAATTGTACTGCAAAACCAACACTTTATTTTAGCTGGAATTAATTTTTGCTGAAACAATGTTTTGGATGACATTTATTTTCGCTGAATTTTGAATGATTTTGATGTATAACATAGCCAAAAAAATATTTTTACAGAAATCTTTTCACTGATTCACTCTATCAAAGCGAAAACAAATTCCGAGTGAAAATTTAGTACTTTTACAGTTTTTTGAAGTTATAGAGAAGCGCTTTAACCCTTATCCTGCCACCACCACATACTCGCACATTAACGCTACCGTACACTGATTGAACATGTCCATGCTAATAGGAGGACTAACTTTTGTGAAAGCCACTACGATTCACCGTCGTAAAGTGAATTGTCAACGTCGTTACACACAAGTATAGGGAGGCCTCAAACAACACGAATGTTTACCAATGACCACTTTATAGAAATACATGTACGCTAAAAGCCAGTTGTGCATTTTCAGAAAAAACTAGAAATTTCTCAGAATTGTGAAACTTGTGTGCCATGCTTAGTCACAATTAAAGATTTATTTGTGATTGTAATGGTACGATCGTTAACCAAATTTCCTTTTGAACTAAGTATATCGTTTGCTATTTGGCATAGAATACATACATGCACATTCACTTACTTAATCTACTAAAACTTACAATCCCCCACTTCAACCCCTCGAAAACGTGTGTATCGCAAAATGAAAGCTCCTTACTATGAATACATATTCATGTGACAAGACGTAAAGAAACTCACTAGTACTAGCTGATGCTCCAGATGGTGCACTCAAAATAGCATTAGCACCACTCCCAATTCTAGCATAAATTTTAAACAGATACGATGTACCAGGAACAAGATCCTCAACAGTAAAAAACTCTGTATCCTTATCAACAATTCCGACAATTGTTTCAGGTGCATTGATAATTGCGTTGTCAGCATACGTTATGACGATATCATCATAATCACCCATAGGTGGATCCCAGGATAATGATACACTCACAGCAGTTGGAGGCTGCGGGAATATATACCCTGGTTTACTTGGTCCT